AACTACGTCTATGGTATCGATAATTTTTTAATTTTCTTTATATTATTCATACCGAAACATCATTTATATGTTCTACAATTTCCTATAATTCTGATGAATTAATGATAAATGTTAAGAAAGTAAGGAGGGAAAATGCAATATAGAGAATAATCTCATAGCGTACTTAATAATACTTGTATGTTTATGCAAGTAGTATTATTCTAATAATGATAGGAATCAATTGTAGTAAAAGAATATTATGCAAATATATAGATAAATAAGCAAACAACAAATGGAGTGCATAACATTTTAATCAATCGTGCATTGTGGCAAATCATTCAAATTGAAAATTATACTGTTATAGTGTTTCTCTGTGAACATTTATGTTAACAGAGAATTAAATTACATAATGAATTCAATAAATCAGAGTTTATTCATGAAATTTATTCTATTGTTGCATTTTATGTAGTATTTTTTTTTTAAATATTTACGATCATATGAATAAAGATGTTCAATTGACAGAAGATTATAAGCAAATGATCGAAGACAATCCAATACACCAAAAACTTTCCAATTTTCAAAACAAATAAGATTTTTTTGTCAATAAAAACTACATTTTACTTTCTCTTTCTAATACTTTTGATAAACTATCAATATGAAAGATCTTCAGCAAACTTAGCATAATTTCTGCAATAAAAAAACTTCTGGTAGACAAGACTAGAGAAACTTTCAGCTTATGCATAACACTAAAATAAGAAATAGTTGATGATTTTTCATTTCTATGCAATCTGTTTCGGCACATTATCTTTCATTTTATATATACGATCTTCAAAAGTCATTTTACCAAGGAAAAAACTTGAATATCTCTGATATATTTTGACTAAACGGGCTGTTTTGTTTTCATGCTGATAAAGAAGTGATTATATATCATATTTATAAGAAAAACATTGACAAACACTGTTTTGAAATACCAATTTTAAATACAATAACAAAGACTGTGACCTTTTCATGAGTTAAGAAAAAATTATATTGAAGTTTTTTCGGTAAGTCCTTACTATTTATAGCTGAAACCTTCGCGATACAAAGAGTACCAAGACATGTATTTGTAATATCAATTTTACATCAAACAACAATAGTCGGGATAATTAGTACAAAAAATGATGTATAGTTTACTTTTGACCAGCGGAACAGTTGTATTGTTTCTTCATAACTCGTGAAAGGTTACCGGTCCTTATTAAAGTTAACTATGATATTTAAAAGCGGTATTTGCCAATGTTTTTTCTGAAAAATATCATGTATGAACACTTGTTTTATTAGTAGTAAAAGAATGCGATTATTTAGTCAAAATATGGCGGACACATTCATTTTTTTTTCTTTGGTAAAGTGCCTTTTGGACCATTTTGTATATATGACATGTCTTTTGCTTTAGAATTCAATGTTTCTCATAAACGATCCACTTTTTGTCACGCCTCATCTAAAAGGGGTGTTACAGTATATAGGGTAGAGATTTACACTTTCTTCTCCTCTTCTCACAGACCGTGACAGATATATCAAAGACCGTATGTCAATAATATCTCATTATAACACATGAACTACTTCTCTATTATATTTCTGAAGGATTAAGTAAAAGAATGGTGAAGAAATGCGTCGCAAGATGAATAGGATAAAACAATATTTCTATGATCAGCAAGAGCAACAAAATTATGTTTCACATTTCATTCTTGCACGGATTGCGCTAAAAACTTTTATTATGCGTAATAAAATTAAAAATTCATCACGGAAGATATTTTACAAAAAATAGCTTTGAAAAATTTGTTTTTTTACTAACATATTTATGTATATGAATCATTAGTTCTCATATCATTTTCAAAAATAGTTTCGTAAACAGAAATAAAGCCAAAGGCATCATTATGCATCTCATAACCAGCAATTATTTGTATGCATATCATTAAATGTTTGATTGTACGTCTTAATAATACATTATTGTAAATGAGTCATCATTGTTTGGCCAATTGAAGAAACTTTTTATTACTTTTTGATCTAGTTTTTTTTTTAATATATTCTATTACCATCTTGCAATAGAAATTTATTTTTCTTATTGATTTTATTAGCGAAATAATAATATATATGTATATATATATTTATCGAGAATTTAGTTCAGCATACTAATAACTCAAGCAGACACGAATATAACATATGAATAAATATAGAAAATGGGTTTCAACATATTTCCAATGAATCTATCAAAATTGATGTCGAACATGATTTTGAATTAAACTATTGTATAGAATGCATGATAATCTCATTGTTGATGACTCAAAATTAATAGAAACCTGATCTGTAATATATTTATTACTGAAAATGCTTTATATTACATTCTGAGATATTAATGCTACAAAAGAGTTTACTGTTTAAGCTATTTTCACCGTCGATGGTGTTGAATACGATATATTTCGATTGATTATCGAAAGATAAAATCTTTACAAGCAACTCAATCGATAAGATATCAAAATTTATGGTATAACCTATGTCGGATTACTGTTGTCTTAAAATTCAATATACAAAAACTGTTCACTCACATATTTTGATAATAAATATCAAAAATACTTTATCTTTTATAAAACTTCATCCTAACATAGAAAGTATTGAAATATCTACTTATTAAAATTATTTTTTCAATGCATATATTACCATGAAAATAAAACCTTGATTTAGATACGAACAAATATTTGTAAATATGAGACTTTGCATATAAAAACAGTTCTTATCATATCGATGTAGAAGGATTTAATTGTAGTTGAGATTTCTCACTCAATTAACAATTTGAAACAATAATGTATGATAATCTTATGTTCAGAGTGGAGAAGTGACCTCTTTGTCTCTCCGACTTGAAAAATTATCATTTTTCATCAGCACAGTTTCAGTATTTTATAGTTTCGTGTTACTCATCAATTTCCAAAAAAAGATGCTCGATTTCTCTTCACGAATCTACCTACCAATCAGCCTTCTGAGTCATCAGCACTTCTTCAATCCTGATGACCTCGGAACACTCCTGTGTCTCATAATCGTTTCGATCAATAGTTGACAAACTATTAACAAAATAATAAAATAAATGAACATGTCATATACTAACACATATTAATTGAAATATAATAAAAACCCGCGCACATTTCAAGGTGAGTCAATAGTATTATGATTGGCATAGAATTTCTTCTTTCTTTATTTCTCTTTTCTCTTCTTTCTTTTATGAGAATATAAGACGAAAAAAAAGAAAGTTTATCGTCATCATCGAGTCGCGTGCTGTTGCCGATAAAGAAAAAGAGAAATATAGTATAGTACGCATAAAACAAGCTATTTATGATGATTCATTTATAGTTACTGAAGCCTTGAGATAATAGAGGACAAAGAAAAAACAAGTTAACTTGAGAATAATATGTGTAAGATCAATGAATTTCTATATACGTAAAAACATATGATATACATATGATGTTAATGACTTCTTTTGATTTCCGCTTCATATAAAATTTTGCTCTTATTTTTTTCTCCTGTGTTTTTTTTGCCTTTTTTAGTTCTTATATAAACTTAAATAACAAAATTTCTATTCGCATATTTATTTGTGTGATTATCTTAGGTGTTGTCATAAGATTTCAATTCATTTCAGTTGTTATTTCGTCACATAAACACACGTTTTTTTTGCGTCTTGTTTTGCTCTTTCTCATCACTCTTTTTTTTCCCGACCATCGTTGTCAATGATGATGATGTGAACATAGCTGTAGTGTGCTGCCTGTTTGTCACGATCACTACGAGAGCGATTCATTCTTCGTCGTCCCGCACGCTGTAGCTTGTCGACAACACTCACAGCAGCAACAACAAAAATAAATACGCAACATTAGAAATACATTGCTCTAAACGCATACCAAAAACAAATCATACAAGTAAAAAAAAAGAAAGAAAAGAGTCGTTTATATCATGCACGATCAGTGGTATCTCGCGGTAAGATTTATATAAATTTTGTTTTGTTTTGTATTTACAATTTTATTTGATTCAATAGAGTGAACGTATACCTGATGGTTTATATTTAATTGAAGTTCTTCATTCAGGTAAATATATAACATTTACCCCTGAACGATCAACATTAGTACAACAAGATCGAAATGTACAGGTTTGTATTCATATATATTCATTTCTTATATATTATGAAAATAGTTTATAGAATGAAGCTGAAACACAAGTATTTGAAATTCAACATATTGGTTATCGTGATTATATTATTCGACATCATTTAACTGGTCTTGTTTTGACCGTACATAAGTAATTAAATATTGAATATGCACATATATATATATATATGTTAATATCATTTTTTTTCCTCTAAAAGTGGCTCACCTTCACCCTGTGCTCCAATCGTTCTTTGTCGTTCTATGGGTGTTCGTACACCGTATCAAACAGTTAATTTTGAACGATCGAATAATCAATCTGATGATTTTATTATATTTCTAAAACATACACGTATGGTACTTGATATTGATGGTGGAAGTCAAAGTACCAATGCTCGTCTTCTTCAATTTCCTCAAAAGAAAAATAATAATTTTGAACCATCTACTCAACATTTTCGTCTTCATCAAATTGTTGATTGTACAAATCAACAACCGACTGTTATCATTCCTGTTGAATATTTTCGATAAACAAGAAAAAAAAAACAATATTATTCTAAAAATGAAAAAAAAAGACAGTCAAGAATATGTATGATGTTTTTTTTTCTTTTCTTTTCTGTTTTCTGTACAAAATGTGTCAGATGATGATTATTTTAAGTTCCTGGTGACTCTTTATCAACATATATATATATATATCTATTTCTATTTAAAGATTTTGAAAATATATATAGTCAAGAAGAAAAAAAAAAACAATGCAAAAATTATTTAATGAAAAAAAAAAGAGATCAAAAGTTTCATTATTAAAATAAAAAAAAAAAAGAAAAATTCTTTTTCCTTTTTTTTTTGTTATTATTGTTAGTGCTGGAATTATTTTTTTGATGTTGGCTGAGATGGTTGAACTGTTTTAACATAGAAAACATCATCAGCTCTAACTTTTGTATTTTGTTTATTGGATTTTTGTGATTGTTGTGATTGTTGTTTTCCATTATCTGGAACAAAATCTGAGGAATATTTAAATGGTAAGCTACCTTTTATTTGTTGTTGTTTTGAAGATGATAATATAGCTGGTTGTTTAGTTGATACATTTACTCGTCGAATTGATTCATCACTTGTAGTAGATGATGAACTTGTTGATGATAATGATGATAATGTTACAGAATCAAGTGGTGGTACTTGGTGTTGTGGTTGTTGTTTTGATGAACTTGGTTTTTGTTCATAACTAATTGCACCTTGATCCTGTCTTTGTTGTTTTGAATGATGATAATGATGATGATGATGATGACGGCCAAATAATCGACTCCAACTTAAATTATCCATATGAGTATCAAATGATGAAGAATTATAAACATTTGAATGTGGTTCTGAATGATATTTTTTACCATGATGATTTGTTTTCTTTGATTGATGGTTATAATCAACATATGGAACTACAGGATAATTATAATTTTGATTATAACCTGGTGAATTATAATTTGAATAAGGTACAAGAGCATTTGATTGTTGATTATTTGAATATGGTCCTATTTGTGGTTGATAAAATTGACCATAATATGATGATGGTCGAGAAAATACCATCGCATTACCACCTGATGCATAATTCGTCATTAATTGTGGAAACATTTGTTTTGCCTGTTCCATTGGTACAGCTACAACAATACAATTAGATGGTAATGGACTACCAGTCATTATTGCTTGCATGGCTTGTGCCATTGTTGCTTGAAAATATGGTGCAGCTGAATATGGATAATTCATCTTCAATTATTCAAGAAAAGTTGTAAACTAGAGAAGAAAAAGCAAAGTTAATAATTTGTTGTATTTTTCATCAAAAAAGAATTCATTTTTGGCATTTTTTAACGAAATAAATCTATACTTACAAATAGAAACACAAAGATATTGCTGCTATTTAAATTGACTTTTTTTTTTTCTTTTTGGTTAAGATCGATCTATTTGCACCTTTAGCAATGACTAAAATGGCTCATTCAATATACACATGTCTTTTGCCTTGTGAGAACTTATATTTCAACATTACATCTATGACAAGGTTCTGATTGAATCTCTTACCGGTAAATGAAAGTGATTGATGTAAAGATCTCCTTGAATTGTAAATATAAAAATGACTATATTAATAAAAATCTGTAAGAATCAATTGAAAGAATAACTATTCTTTTCTACAATAAAAATCAAACATGACTGCTGTATATCAAACAAACAAAATAAAGTTTTATCATGTACACTAATCAAAGACTATTAGAACTAATTTTGTCTATTGAATTTTTCAGATGTCTTTCTCTAGTCGATGTACCTTTAGTTATGCATCACTAAACTCGTTCACACATAAGTACAACCTTGTCTCTTTTTTTATTTCGTTTTTTTTTTCTTTCTAACCTAAATGCATGAATTACCAGTTGGTATTACTGATGTAATAAGTAATTACCCTTGTCTCTTTCTTCTTTTTTCTCGTCATGTCATTCTCTTGATAATCAATAATTAACAAAAAACGCAAAAATCTAGACTGAAGCGTTGTTATACAATATTTATGCACATTAAAACAAGGCAGAAAAGTCACCTTGCCTTCAATAGAGAAATATTAATTGTCGGCGATATGTCTTGATGATAGAAAATTATGTCATTAATATCAAGTAGAACACAGATACAAGAAGAAATCAAATTCTATCTGATATTTTTTTTTTTTGTTAATAAATTTAAAAAACTTTTTTTTTGTAAGTTTAAAATGATACATTTAAAATTTAATTTAGAATTTTTATCTATGATTGAACTATACAATCAATTGGAAATATTTTCAATGTATTGCAGAAGTGTTCCCATGAATTGTTCAACAGAAACAAAATTTATTTGTCGGCGACATCTGTTCCTGCTATGTCGTGCGTCAAATTGACAACTAATGAACATTTTTTACATTCTGCATGCGTGCATTTTTTTTTATCTTCCGTCGGGTGTTCTGTTCTTTTTGGGAGATCGTGCAAGAGAAAATGTGAGAGAAAGAAAAAGACATCGATCTTTGTAGCCTATGTATGGCTGCCGTTTGCATCGTTGTCGTTGTTCTTTCTTACTCCTTCTTTACTCATTTTTATCGTAGAGATCGATGAGAGAAATATGACGTTTTTTGTCAAGAAATAGGGCAATGGCTCATCATCAATTTGACTTTTCAATCAATCTGTCATATTCTATTATTTTAGGTAATTTTTGCTTTGTATTCTTATTGTTTCTTTTTATAATCTAGTAATCTTGTTTATTCTTTTGTTCATCTATAGATGAACGATTCATTCGCTGATCAAGGTCTTCTCTTTTTTTTTGTTGCTTAATTCCCCAGATACTAACGATCATAAACATTAGTTCGATCACAGTATTCTTCATGTTCATGTTTCTTTGCTTTTTCTGCTTCTCTTCTGTTGATAGTATAACTATTTCTAGACAACAACTATAGATGTTCTCCACTCAACGTCCAACAGCTCTTGAGCATGGAAATGCACGACAGGAAACAAGATGGATTCTGATGAATCTTTTATTTTTCGGAAGGATTCCTTCTCGCATTCGATGCGACTGGTGTTATTCTACAGTGTTTTTCTCTCTCTCTCTCTCAATTCTATATAAAAGCTCGTATTTCTTTTTTGTGCAGCTTTCAATGGCTTACAGACACCGTTTATATATATATTCTTACATTTCCAACAGAGACACGTCGTTTTCGGTAAACAATTTGATTATTCTGTTCTGATGTATTCAAAGAACAACACTGAATCGTTATATGAATGAGAATACTAAAATTGTGTAGCGTGATGTTAATTGTAATATGAATAGAGAAAAAAAAATATATAATCAACTCTTTATGTGAACTGAAAGATCTACGTTGCGATAGAACATTCAAGGATTTTCTTGTTTCTCTTTTTCTAGTTTTAGATAAATTTATTTTTTTTTAATAATGCGAATCGTATAGTAACAATGATGAACTATTTGAAACGACGTTTCTCCTCCGGAGATCTTCAAAATGAAAATGATGACAATACAATGACAATGCCAACGTCAACTGAATCTCATATGAATATGACATCACAAAGTAATGTAAGTCGTCAATCAGCATGGGAATCAAGATCATCAAAGTACACCAGTGCGCCGAGTTCTCCTACTCGAAGTTTATCGTTTGCAAACCAATTTATGAATGCTGCACGTGGTGTTGTTCATCAAGCTATTCAACAAATTCCACATCAACAAACAGGAACACCATTAACATCGTCGTCATCTATATCTTATTCTCATCCTCAACATCATCATCATCATCATCATCATTCTCAATCAATTCAGAATAAAGATCAGCAACAACCAATATCAAAAGAAAAATTTAAATTATTATTAGTTATCGATGATCAGCATACAGATTGGTAAATATGAAGATTTAGTTAGTTTATTTGTCTGTTTTATCTTATTTAAATTATCATAGGAGTAAATATTTCAAAGGCAAAAAAATTTTTGCTGATTATGATATACGCGTGGAACAGGTTTTATATATATATATAAGTGTTGCTTATGTACCTATGTGTTGTGTCGTTAATAGAAAAAAAAAAGTCATTTGCGTGATACAATATTTCATGAGAATATGTCAGTTATTTCTTTTTCGTGAATGCAATTTACTTAATGATGATAAGTATTATTATCTGTTATACTGACAATAATAGAGCTCGTACTGGAACGTCATGCTTTGAATAGAATAAAAATAATAAGTAAAAATATTATATTTATTCTTTTGTCTTCTTCTTTTTCAGGCGGAATTTAAAGATATTAATTTGGCAGCTTATTCTGATGCCGGTACTTTAGTTGATATAAACATCTATCGAAATGGAACGCATGTTGTTCGGTATGAATGGTTAATGAAGTATCCTTTTTAAAAAATAATTTCCTTTTTGTTTGAATAAAAATAAGATCATTTCGACCAGATTTTGTGCTTGTTCGACAGTATGTCAAAGATATTAATATTGATTGGACAAATATTATTCTTGGAATGCAATATGGAGCACTACCAGGCGTTAATTCAATGAAAGCCTTGTATAATTTTCGAGATAAACCATGGATTGTAAGATATCTATTTTGATTTAAATTTAATTTAGAATAATTATTTGCATAGTTTGCTGAATTACTTAATATTCAACGACGTTTAGGTACAGAGCAATTTCCATTAATAAGTCAAGCTTATTATCCAAATTATCGAGAAATGGTGAGTAATCTATGAATGAGTATCTTATAGATATTAATTAACTTAGATTTAATATGTTCATGTTTTTGATTAAGATGTAAAATTTATTTTGTTTTTAACTTCAGCTTATTTCACCTCAATTTCCATCTGTAGTTAAAGTTGGACAGGCTCATCAAGGTTTAGGAAAAGTAATTTATATAAAAAAAAATTAAACTTTTCTAGTTAAAAAAATTAAATTTTGTTCTTTTTTTTTTGTTTTGTTTTTTCTAAGATTAGGGTTGAAAATCCATATGATTATCAAGATTTAACAAGTGTTGTTGCAATAAGTAATTGTTATACAACAGTAGAACCATATATTGATGGGCGTTGCGATGTTTATGTACAAAAAATTGGACAATATTATAAAGCTTTTATGTGAGTTAAATTGAAAAAAAACACTCAAGTGATAATTTTTAACTACAATCAATAAAATAAATAGACGTTTTTATATTAGTATTTACATAAGAATAAAAAAAGACTACTTATGATGTTGTTCAATGTTTGCTTTCCATTATGAGTTTTTCTGGAAAATCTTTCTTTTTTTTTTTACACGTATGACTTCGTGATGTTTGAGATAATTTTTTAATCAAATATTATTTTCAATATTTGTTTATCTTTAGTCGAAAATCATTAACTGGTAATTGGAAAGCTAATACAGGTTCGGCAATGCTTGAACAAATTGAGATGACTGATAGGTAGAAGTAATTAAATTAGTTTTATTTCAACAAAGCCTGTTTCTTTTTTGTTTTTAAAGATATCGTTTATGGATTGATGAAGTTAGTCAATTATTTGGTGGACTTGATATGTGTGCTATTGAAATAGTTCAATCAAAAGATGGAAAAGAATATATTGTACAGGTTAGAAAAAAAAAACGAAAAACTAAATATTGTTCTAATTCAGATTTATTATGTAGGTTAATGATTGTTGTATGCAATTATTAGGTGAATCCCAAGATGAAGACCGTCGATGCATTGCAGAACTTGTAATGCACAAAATGCAAATCTATTGTCGACCTGATAAACAACCAACTATGATGACGTAGGAAAAAAAAACCTATTAAATGACTAATATTCTTTTTTTTGTTTTCTTTATATATTAAAGTCGAGTACCAAGTGTTGAACAACCTATTCATGAATTACCAAAGATAACAAAAGTGCCATCACCACTTAATGATCCTATGCCAGCTCCCACAACAAATACACAAAATATATCATCATCAACAACACAAGTTTCTAATAGCAATCGTCGGGAATTACCAAATGTTCCACGTAATACAACGAATATTGATAATCAATCATCATCGAGTATAAGTCAAAATCCATTTTATAATGCTTCAACGACAAATACTACAAATAGTATTAGTACATCACGGTCAACACCATCACAATGGATGGGAAATATAGGACACACACTTCGCAAACAGACATCAAATGTGGTTGATGTAAGAAAAATAATTTTTCTTTTTTTCTTTTTATTAGAAATGACTTTGTGTTTTTCCTTTCTTTTTGCA